TTTTATTTCTTAGGTGCCTTGCGAGACACTCCACTGCCTGACAAGCATGTAAAAAGTACATTTAATGACTGTGTAGTTACGGTGTTGAGTGACTAGGTCCTAAACAGATGAGTTTTGTGGGTGGATTTGAAGTGCTGAGTCAGTCGGTGTACCGGAGGTCCAGGGGTGGAAGAGCTCCAGAGCTGGGGAGCAGAGCGGCGGACGGCTCTACTACCCCGTGTTGATGAGCTGGAGCGACGTGATCAGATAACTGTTTTGTATCAACCAATCAATTGATCGGTTTGTTTATATAAGCATCATTCATATCCAGTGCAACCCAAAGTGCTTTCCACAGACATAAAATCATACAAAATTACAAACATTTTAAAACGGTAAGTATAACTAATAAAAACTATAGAATCTCGACAAATACAAAACTCAGTCAGACGCTCAACTTTCAGCATGGACTTTAACCATGCTAGAGATGAGTCTCCCATACAGCATTAGGAAGACTGTTCCAGATTGTTGGGCATAAACCTGAAACGCTCCTCTTCATGTTTAGTCCTGACTCTGGCATCACAGCAGGAGGCCAGTCCTGTGTTCTTCATAGTCCCAGGTGGTCATAGGCACCAACAAAGTCTCAGATGTACTTGGTGCAAGACCGAGGAACAAGCAGAGCTGCTTCAAAGTTCCTTTTTTTGAATACGTGATAATAAAACAATGACATAGAGATAAGAGTAGATCAATTCCAAGAGTCCAAGTTTGTTCACATTGTGACTCTCAACTGTGAAATGGGGTGAAAACATGGAAAGACAGCCAAAAATGTTAGAGCTGTGATTTTTTAATTCATTTGCGGAGGCTCAGGGAACCCAGATCCCATACAGTTCCGTTCAAATTAGAACTTTAATCCACCAAAGACATTCTGGGTCGGCTAAAGACTATAGCATTAGCACCCAACCTCCAGGTTATGTGTGGTCTTTTGAAGTCATGGTCCGAATTAAACCCAAAATGCTCAGAAGGGGTTGGCCTGCAAGATGTAAGCAGAGACAGGGGAGCAACAAATCAGTTGATGGCAAGGATCCGCCCTCAATACAATCATTATACATAGTTTATATAGCAGCTGTTTTGTGCTGCCTTTATTTGGGCAATCTCCTCATCAATAGGACCCCCAGTTTTTGTTATTTAAACTATAGTAATATGTCACCATAAGTAAAACTTCACTAGCCATATGGACGGAAGTATGAGATTCCCAGACAATGGTCCTGAAGTCGCGGCTCTTCTTGCGTCGTTGGCCCTATATTGGACACATGTTGAAAGCGTATTGACTGACAGCTCGTGACCCGATGTAGAAGGCCAGTAGCGTAGACATCACTAAAGCATGCTTTCATCTTTTTAAATAATGGTTTTTTTTCATGGGACTTTTTAAATAACATTGGTCCCAAAATCCCACACAGAAATCACTATTGTTAGTATATGTATTAACCTTTTTTTGAGAGTTGGGGCTTGAATAAGTTTATAGTAAATACCACAGATTCTTACGCTAATTTCCTCCATGGGCTGGCACATTGTTCTGCTCCTTCCCATTAGAAATCCTTGTAATTTAGTAATCCACTCAAAAACAGAGATTGGGTGGCAGACGGACATCCCTTTTATTGTTAGACATTAAATACAGTATAGATTTGTACTTTGGAAATTGCAGATTACAGCCAAAAAATGTGTCTGTTTCCGTCCCGATCTTGTAATAGAAAAAATATCTTCAAATAGTTTTCCAACTTTGCCTTTATTGACGGCTATTTCTGGAGCGTTGATAGGTAGTTGTACAACGTAAATCGCTCTGCAGCACACGTCGCTGAGGGGACGGTCTATCGAAAAGTAAGCAAAAACAACTCTTATCATTCATGGCAAATCACCCTTTCAATTATCATCTCACATAAACAGCATTATATAGCACAGAAAAGAGATAAAAAAAACCGGTCTCCAGGAGAAAACGTGTCCGCCGATACGGGGCAGAGTTGTCGACAAGTGATGGGGTTTTAATGGCCCTGTTTTTGTAAGCTGCTGTTTCACGCGTCAGACGAATCGTGATCTAAACTAAGAAGAAAACACCGTTATGCTTTTCTCAGGACATCAACTGCCTCCTTTTAATTTAGTGAACATTTTAACATTAATAAACATACAGGCATTGAAGTTATGTATAAAAAGGGTGAAAGAATATGGTACAATACAGCTGAATGGTCGCAGCAGGGTCTTTCCTGAGTGGAGTTTGCATGTTCTCCCCGGACCTGCGTAGAGTTCCTCTGCGTGCTTCGGTTTCCCCCGACCCAACTAAAAACCATTACACAATAGGTTCGGATCCTCCAGCTCTTGTAGTCCTGACCAAGACAAGCATCAAAATCTGGAGAGGGGTTCCCGGGTGCTGTTACTACGGCGACCACTGCTCCTGAAGGTAAGCCTATGTGGCACAGGATGGGTCAAATGCAGAGGATTGAAATGCCCTCGGGGTTAATAAACTACCACCTGACTCACCACCGGGGCCATAAAATAAAACAATTCAAAAATAAGGTAAAAAACATATAAAACAGACACACAAACATATAGATACGAAAGGAAAAAAAATATGAATTCAAAGTGGATGATTTTGTAGGATGATTAAAATATGACCAGAAACAAAGACCAAGACGTCAAAGATTTGACCGAAATAACTGTAGTCTAGTTACAATTAAATACTAAAATAAGCTAGTTCTTTTTTGCCTACCCCTTTCTACAATAGTATAAGTGAAGGTGTTAGCAAAAGGTTTTTCCAGAAGCAATGCAATAGGATTTTGCATTAACATAAAGAAATCTGAGTTTCTAAAGTGGAAAAGTGAAAATTTGATCTACAACAATGGCTGGTAAGATCAATTATATAGCTACCTATATATCAGTGTAAATTACATACCATTACTGGGCACGGATAAAGGAGATAAGTGACATTCAGTGGAACTCATAGATGCAGGAACTTACCATTTACAGACGAGACGACCAGTGTTGGGCACGTTTACTTTGAAAAAGTAATTAGTTATAGTTACTAGTTACTTCTCCCAAAAAGTAACTGAGTTACTAACGTGAGTGACTCCACTATAAAAGTAACAAGTTTACCAGTAAAAGTAACTATTTGCGTTTACTTTTCGTTTTGTTCTGGCACAGAATGTGCACCGGCGTTGCGCATTTTTACCGTTTAACAGTGCCTATATTTCCATCTAGAGAAGGCTGTTTTGCTGCTGACGCCTTTCACTCGTGCATCTCGCTCGGTGCTGTTAGCACTAAACACCAACACCCGCCACGTGTATGTGGAAACACCGTGACAGAGCGGTGAGGCTGGTGAAGCACTGACTTCATCCAATCAGATGATCATATACATCATATAAATCAAGTGGACAATTTGTTTGGCCCCTAAACCAGCCCAAAAAATATGTTTTATGTGTTTGTTCATACAAAACGCAAAACCTATGAGTTATGGGTCTTATTTGTATGGGACCAACATCAGCACTGTACTTCACCATATTGTACTATGTTTATTTCCACAATCTTTCAACGCTCACCTATAACCGGTGTAGTGTATGGGGAAACCGGAGCACCTGGATGAACCTACGCAGGCACAGGGTGAACATGCATAAATCACTCAAAAAGGCATTTGATCCACCCATCGCTAGGTGGATTGAACATAATCCATTACAAGAATATCTTGAATTGTAATTGTATGTATAACCACCAATCTCTTCCAATTCCCCCTCACATCAGTACCCCGGATGTTGGGCGGGGTGGGTGCCGCCAGAGGTCCAAAATAAGAGTCCTCCTTTGTCCGTTATACTGATGTTGTTCAGATGAGAATTCAGTCACATATTAAAGGTTGAATGCTTTCTCCTCGGGTTAGTACAGATAGCTCGGAGTTTTAGCCAAGTTTGTTAATTTGTATCGGCACAGGTCAAGAAGAGAGCAGCTCCAATAGTGCTTTAGAAAACAGAGTTTAAGATTGAAAATTCCAAATGTATCACACAACAGACATTTAACTATGTAGTATATTCGGGTGGAACCTGGGTGGTGTCTTTGTCTGTCATTTGCTGTGTCGATTGTAGCTGCATGAATCTGAAATTTACTTCTATCTATGAAAATTATAATTCATTATGTTTTCATTATCTTAAAATAATACATTATGTAAATGTATTATTATTATTATTTTAAATTATTATTATTTTACATTATGTAAAATAATACATTATGTATTATTTTTGCAAATGTGATTTACTTCCTGTACTCAAGAACAAATAAAATGCATTGTTTGTGGTCGTGTGTCGCCCATAAAAATAAAAATGTATCCAGAAAATATTTACTTTTGAAATAATTGTACGACTGAAATAGAATGAGTAGACTGTATAAAGTAATAGGAGGACTGTCAGGAAGAACAACACCACAAGTGGTGGAAAGTTACAAGTTACACTCTGCTGTAATTTCTAAACTTCTTAGAATTAGTTATAAAGCCCTTAATTGACTGTTGCATGGAGGCAATACTTTGGATTTGAAAGGCAGAGAAGAATAAGCCGCTCGATGGTGTTTTTGAGAAACAATATTGTAACATGGTTCAAAGTGTGAAGGTTCTGAACCCACCCATCAATTTTATTATTGGGGTTCTCTCGACTGATGATGATAGTGACTCCGTACTATCTCGATGATCACAGTTCTGGTGATGGACACGGCTAAGTTGTTGCCTCTGTTGTTCATTCTGCACGGTGACTTTAAATTGGCTCCAGATACGGTTTCTTCACTACACAACGCAGCCAGTGTGATATTTACACGTACCCTGGAAGTGGGGATGTCAAGAGCATTGGGTAATTCATAATCCTGAATATTTAGGTCACTTATGAAGTAAAATAAATAGTACGTATGACCTTTTTTAGAAACTGTAATGAATTAATCATTGTTCAACTGTAATATACAAATTGTGACATCCGTTACCTGGAAGTCAAATCTCCGGCCATCAAATGTCATGTAGTGAGGGTCTCCCTCGGCTGTACATGTGGCAAAGCTTGTGGGCCGACAAGCACGGATCCCATCCACCACAGAGCACTCCTCATTGTCCGCGCATGAAGCCTCATTGCAGACCACCATCCCCGAGTCCGTGTCACACTCACAGAGGCGCCCACAGCCGGGCCTTCCCAGATAGCGTTGACTTGGTTTGTAGTAGCGCCCTGATAGGAGCCGCCGCAGTTTGCTTTTGGGACGCACACGCCGGCGCTCAGGACATAGCCCTTATCGCACACACAGGTCTCCCACACAAACGGTGGGCACAGATCTGCTTCTGCTCTGGGAAGGGGCAGGTCGGCTGGCACGGGCTGGCACATTGCTCAAAGTGACTGTGGGGCTGGCAGTTCATTGCTGCAAACAAAGTAACATGTATCAGCTTCATGTGCTGTTGCTCTTTCGGATCATGTCTGTGTTTTTTTTGACATGTGTTTCACTAACAAACCACCAGTGGACTCTGCAACTGTTCGAAAAAGGCGCATAAATGAAAATACGAGTGATCTATTTATGGGAATGATAAACTTTGAGAATGCATAGTGTTCTACTGTAGATGAACTGTTTAACTCTGTCACCTCTAGTGTTTTGAATGTTCTGGATACCGTTGCCCCTGTGAAGGTTAAAATAGTGAAAAATAAGCAGAAGGCGCCGTGGGCTAAAGCAGACTCAGTCAGGGCACAAAAGAGAAATTGCCAGAGGGCCGAGCGGAGTGCCGCAAGTCCAACCTCCAGATTGATTACGAGATCTTCAAAGATAAGTTGTGCGAGTTTAACCGGGTGCTACGTAGTACGAGAGAAAGGTATTTTTCTGAAATGATTGAAGGCTGCAGCAACAATCTGCGTGTTCTGTTCTCAACAGTTAATAGATTAACAAACCCCCCTGTTCAAATGCCATTAGAGCTTACTTCCAAACGTAAATGCAAAGAGTTTTTCAATTTTTTCAATGACAAGGTTCAAGGCATCAAAAACGCCATTGTCTTCAATCCACAGATAACCATCCAACAGCCAAAAAGGCTCTTTGAGCTAACTCACTTTGCACCTGTAAATGATAAAACTGTCCAAGAGATAATCTCCAGTTTGAGCTCCTCCACATGCAGCCTGGATGTACTACCCACTAGATTTCTGAAGTCTGTTCTGTGCAGTCTGTTACCTTCACTCACACAGATAGTAAATATGTCCCTTCATTCTGGAATATTCCCAAAGGCCCTGAAAACTGCAGTCATCAGGCCCCTGCTAAAAAAAGAGCAGCCTGGATGCTACGGTACTTAACAACTATCGTCCCATCTCAAATCTGCCATTTATGGGGAAAGTCCTTGAGAAAGTTGTCTACCTACAGCTTACTAGATTTCTCATAATCAACAACTCATTTGATATGTTTCAGTCCGGCTTTAGACCCCACCACAGCACTGAGACTGCTCTCGTCAAGGTTACAAACGATATCCGGCTGAACACTGACGCAGGCAAAGTCTCAATCTTGTTAGATCTTAGTGCTGCCTTTGACACCGTCGACCATGAGATCCTCTTACAGAGATAAGAGGACTGGGTTGGAGTCGCTGGCACCGCCCTAAGTTGGTTTAGGTCTTACCTTGAGGACAGGAAGTACTTTGTGGAGATTGGAAACAGTGTCTCAGATCATATGGCCCTGACCTGTGGAGTACCACAGGGGTCGATCCTGGGACCTCTTCTGTTCATTCTCTACATGCTGCCGTTAGGTCAGTTAATACGCAGAAACAAAGTGTCCTATCACAACTATGCAGACTACACTCAGATCTATGTCTCACTGACTGCAGGAGAACATGGACCAGTGGACTCACTCCTTCACTGTATCCAACAGATCAGTGAGTGGATGCAAAACAACTTCCTTCAGCTAAACGCAGACAAAACTGAAATGATTGTCTTTGGTCCCCAGAAACAAAGAGAGAGCGTCATCTGTCACCTACAGTCTCTCTCCCTAAAACCCTCAAACAAGGTTAAAAATGTAGGGGTAATACTGGACTCGAACTTAAATTTTAATAGCCACATCAAATCAGTAACATCAGCAGCTTTTTACCACCTAAAAAACATTGCCAGGATCAAAAACATAGTGTCTAAAGCAGATTTGGAGATTCTTATCCATGCATTTGTCTCCAGTAGGTTTTACTACTGCAATGGCCTGCTCACAGGTCTGTCCATACAGGCGGTAAAACAGCTGCAGTACATTCAAAATGCAGCAGCTCGAGTCCTGACTAGAACCAGGAAGTACGACCACATTAGTCCAGTTCTCAGGTACACAGCACAGGGACTGGACTCCTGTTAGTGCCCAGAGTCAGAACTAAACATGGGGAGGCTGCTTTTCAGATTCATGCTGCTAAAATCTGGAACAGTCTTCCTGAAGATGTGAGAAAGGCCTCCTCAATGACAATGTTTAAAACCAGGTTAAAGACAGTTCTGTTTAGCTGTGCATACAACTGAGGGATTTTATATTTTTAGCTTTCTTTTTAATGTTCTGTGATTATTTATGATTTTAATGCTTTCTTTTTTTGTTCAGCACTTTGAATTGCCTTGTGTATGAATTGTGCTATATAAATTAACTTGCCTTGCCTATATGATATTTTTGTTATTTGCATAATCTTGGGAAGGAACAAGCAGACCAATCAATCAGGATGAGGGAGCATTTCTCCTGTCCCACACATGGGACACCCTCCCTCTTGAGACCACCTAGCGAAAGTAGGCTTTGTCAGTGTGAGCAACTGGTCGGTAAGAGCAAAGTCGAAATAACCAAATCAAAGGATTCCAACCACAATCAATCGAACACAAAATCAGCCTGTATGCAGATGATATCCTCCTCTTTTTACAAAACCCACCTTCATCATTACACCACACAATAAACCTCATCGAATCATTTTCCAAACTCTCACAATATTCAATCAACTGGAGTAAATCCTCAATTCTCCCCCTACAGTCAAACAGTTGGGATGTTGCAGCCATCACACCTCCTGTCCCACTCTCTTCAAACCACATCACTTACCTGGGAATAAAGGTTTCCTCCAGGCTCTCAAAGCTGTTCCCTCTCAACTTCCCCCCCTTACTCAAACAATTAGAAGAAGATTTACAACGCTGGATGAATCTCCCCTTTTCAATCACAAGCAGAATCTCTTTGGTTAAAATGTCAATACTCCCCAAAATCAACTACATACTCTCAATGACCCCTGTTCAACCCTCTCAAACCTGGTTTAAATCACTCAACTCTGCCATTAACAAATTCTACTGGAAAAACAAACCACCCCGTATCAAACTCGCAACACTACAGAATCCAAAACTACAGGGAGGTCTCAATGCCCCAAATTTTTACCACTATTCATTAGCTAATCATTTACAGTAAATACACAAATGGATCCACTCAAACACATCTGACTCAATCTGGATGGATACTGAACAATCACTTTGCAATAACATCAATCTCTCAGACCTACCCTTCCTTAATCAATCAATAAAGAAATACCAACTTTTCAAAACACCAACAAATTCGGCAGCTCTGACAGCCTGGTGGAAACTCCACGATTTAACAAACACCCCCCTTGCCCCATCCATCCGCTCCCCAATTTGGCACAACCCAGAATTCACAAGCAATAATAAACCTCTGTACTTCCATTCATGGGCAGATAAAGGTATAACTCACCTCAATCACATTCTCACAAATAACAGTTTAAAACCACTGACACAGTTGGCCCAGGAGTATGGCATTGGGAGTAAATGCTTCCTCGAATACTTACAACTAAAATCAGCAATACAAAAAAAAATCAACATCCAAACAATAAATCTAGGCCTTCATGATACAATTGCGGATTTCATAAATATTCCCCCCAAAAAACTGAACACCAAAATATACAAAATAATCATCAAATCAGATAATACACAATCTCTTCCAACTGCAAAATGGCAACAAGATTTAGAATTTACTCCCAGTGCCAACTTCTGGACCCAAATCTGCAAAAATATGTATTCAATGACCACCAACTCCAACCTCCAACTCATACAATTCAAAATCCTACACAGATATCACTACACCGGTTACAAATTATCAAAAATGGGATCCACTTCAGACATCTGCCCACACTGCACACAGGGTTGTAGGGACAATTACATTCACGCTCTTTGGCACTGCACTCCGGTCCAAGCATTCTGGAAAGCCGTCACTCAATCACTCACCACTTCACTTGGCTGCAACATCCCAATGTCCCCATCCCTCTGTCTTCTAGGAGACATATCCACACTCCCCATCAATCAGGGTAAATCAAAGTATCTTTTAATGTCGCTAGCTATCGCCAAAAAAACAATACTCATAAACTGGAAATCCAAAACCAACATACACACCTCCACATGGGAAAACTTAATGTCAGATTATATTTCACTTCAAGACATACCCCCCAACCACACCTACAACAATACACCCAGACCCCACTCACAAGCTAACCTTATATACTTTACCTATTTACCTATTACCACTATTTATGTCATCTTGTATTTTGCACACCTCTCTCTCTCTCCCTGCTGCAACACCACTGTACCCCTGTTTTATGTCATATATATATAGATATACATACATTCTATGGTGATATGTTGATGAGGAGGGAATAAGAATAAATTAATAAAGGAATAATTAATAAAAATATAAAAATAAATAACAAAATAATAAATAAACAAATAACAAAAAATAAGTCCTCTTCCCACATGCATCTCAAGCATACACTTTTAATGCACAACATCCCAAACCTGTTTTTAATGCACCACACAGTCACACATTATGCTGGGATGCTGCTGGAAGAGAAACACTAATCATCTACCACCTCGCTCCCATCTCTGTGTGTCCCCCTCCATTGGATTATAGCACCTCAACTCGTCCTATGTTTTTACTATTATTATTATTATTATTACTATTATTATTAGACTCTCTCTTTTCTTTCTCCCCTCTCTCACTACCGGTCAATAAAAGAAAATCTTCAACACCCTCAGATACCTATTCAATACACCAAAAGTGAATGCTTATATGTTTATGTAGGTGCATGTCTAAATGTACAAATGGGTCTATAATGTCTGTGCTGTAATATATTGTATATGCCAATAAAAAATTAAAAAAGAGCAAAGTCGGTAAGATCAGCTGATAAATGACTCGTTACCAAGACGGGTGATAGTTCTGAAGAAGGCATGCAGCTCTGCAGCTGAAACAAGTTAATAACTAACTTGTTTTTCAAAAGATGAACCTTTTTAAATCATGTTGTGGTATAATTTGTTCACTAACATTTACATTGACAAGATAAGACACAATTTGACTTCTCAATATAAAATGTTGAGTGGCAACACACCTCCCTCTAGTGGCAGAAGTTGAAACTAAGACATATAACAAGACATTTAAAACACTTTTTAAAAAATGCAGATAAAGGTTCTGTCCATGACAGAATAAGGATTCAGTCGGCTATACCTGAAGTTTTACAAGTGGTTTATTGTATTAGCTATATTTATTTAGTTTCACTTTTTATTTGCATGCACATCTATGTGTTAACAGGTATTACCCGTGTTACTTTTAAGTAAGAAAAGTGCTCTACGAATAAATATTGAATGTTTGATAACAAGAAAAATTACCTTTAAAATATCTATTGTTGGTCCATATTAGTATTGGTAGTAAAGGATCTTGTTTATTGCTCTAAAAATGTGATTTCTATCTGCAGTAATGATGTGGTATTTGCAACACTAAAGCAATTGTGACAATTGTCTAAATTGCTTTAGTTTGTGTTGAATTAAAACTAAAATAACAACTCACGGCAGCCAAATTTCCGCCTCCAGCCGTTGATTTCGACTCCTTCCTCACGACATTGCTGAGTGTAGGAGGCCAGCGTCTGACAAAGTATCTTCTTGTCCCCCTTGTTCATACACATGTCAAACACACAGCTGTCCAGGAAAGGTTTTGGAGCCACCTTTTCATGGCATATCTCAAACACATTATGGTGTTTAGCGGTGAGGGCTCCGCACAAGTCTTCTGTCTCATAAACCTTGCGTTGCTTATCATCACAAGCTGGACAGTCGTGTTGGCACGTGTCACTGCATTTCTTGTCTTTTTGATTGGGAGTTCTCCAGCTTTTTGCCCAGTCCACGACATTGGACAACAACTCTCCGGCTGGGTTTTGAATCTCATCAGTTTTGTCTCCATTGAAGTTGCCGCACAGGCCACAGACCAGGTTGTAGTAAGAGCTTGGGAGCTTGATAATAAGTTCGTGGTTCCAGTCGTAAGTAACAATGAGGCCAAAGATCATTTTGATTTTGATTTGATGTCCTTGTTGTGATATAGACACTAAGCTCTCCTCACCCAAAACCACTGGCAGATTATAGAGCTCTCCATCAACCTGTGAAAAGATTAAAAAAAAACAAAAAAAGCATTTAAATCTTTGTGAGTATGTTAGAAATAAGACTTAAATCTTACAGTGACTTTGCCGACTTGGTTCTTGTGCACAATGATACTATATCCATACACAGACACCTCCACATCTGCCACATATGAAACAGCTCGGTTTCCTCTATTGTCATTTCTCTCTGTGATTGAGAAGGGAACCAGACCGTCCAGGTTTCCAAAGGTTTCAGAGATGACATATCGGCATGTCCCTTGGAAGTCATATTTAAAGTTATCAAAAGTGATATAGTGTGGGTCGCCCCAGGCGCGGCAGACTCCAGTGAAATCTGGCACACACACAGCTTCATCCTTTTCAACACGACACTTTTCTTTTATGCGGCAGTTTGCATTTTTGCAGGGATCTAAAATGAAAAGGAGACACTTGTAAGTTCATGTATCCTCTGCTCCTCAATTTGTATAGGAATGGGCCCTGCCTTTGTTGTAGCATCCCACAATGCCTTTCTTCACAGAACATGTGGTGCCTCGAGGACACAAGTGGTCTTCACAAACCAGTCCTTTCACCGGATTACACACACACTTTTTGGAGCAGTCTTCATTATAAAACAGTTGACCAGGCTAAGGGCAAAGATCATTTTGTTATGAGTATGGTTTCCAAATGATTTACATTTTGGAAAGAGTACCTTGTATGTTCTTTGCCCATCAGAGCAGCCACATTCATCCTCTTCGACACATGTCTCTCCATTGAACACAAAACCGGTGTCACATTCACAGCCCTCTCTGCAGCCAGTGTTAAACGGCACTAGTTCTGCGAGTCCCGAACAGGCCACACCACTCAAGTCCGCACATAGCTCATAGTGGCTGTTGGCCGGACACTTCATCGCTAAAAACAAGAAGACATTGTTTTATGTATTCTATAGTGTCCGCAACACTTAAAGCAGATGGTACTTACGACAGAAGAAAGGAGACCTCCAGATCTGAATATCCGCTCCTGCCTTCTGACAACTGAAAGCATAGGCCGCTACATTGTCACATTGCACACTTTCTTCTCCATTCGCTGCACACACGTCAAACACACAGTCCTCAAAGAACTCCTTAGGGTCCAGTATACTGTGGCAGCTGGCGAAAGGACCTTTGGGCGCTGTCAATATGCCACAGTAGGTGTATTTGGAGAACACAGCTTCATGGAGTTTGTCACAGACAGGACACTGATTTCCTTCACAGCCATTTGAGCACAAAACATTTGGAATGTTTACTTTCCATGAATTTCCAAAGTCGTTCACATCAGTTGTGAGTTCTTTGTTTGGCAGCTGAAAGTCATCTTCGGGATTGCCATTGAAGTTACCGCACAGACCACAAACCTTCTCCTGATAATTACCAGGTACCGTCACAACAACACTGTATCGGAGGTCATAACTCACTCTCAGCCCAAAGTCCGTCTCAATCACATAATGGGTCCCCTCCTTGAAGATAAGTACTGCACCCTGATTTATATTTATTGGGACATTGTTGTAGATTCCATCCACCTAGAAGGCATACACTTTTTACACATTTCAATATTTAAAGGTGGAGTTTTCTTTATAGTTAAGATTTTTGAATGTTTATAAAGTCAGATGGCTGCTGGCTGGTTTTCATGGTGTAATATGCAAACAATATATAACATCAAACAGTTCCAACATTTTGATGCTATGAAAATCCTTTTAGCTTTATGCCAATTTAATCTTGAGTGCTTTTTTCAATATGTAAACAGAGCTTTTCAAACCTTGAACTCAACCTCAACCACAGAGCAAGTTTCAGAACTTTTTTGGGCTAAAGTCAGATCAGATACTGGCTCCAAGATGGGATTTGAATTTTCGATGACTACATTTGATAATGGATTGAATGGACGAAGGTGGGACTACATCCATATTTGTTCTATCAAAGATCAACACCTTATGACAAGTAGTATTGAGAACAGCTAGATAGAGTTGTTTACATTTCTTAATGTTATTTAATTAATTTATTTTGCTACTTATATGAATGAACTTACCTGAACTTTAAATGTTTTATGTTTCATGATGATAGTTTTTCCATAGACATTCACAGCAACAAGCTTCGTAACTGACACTCTCCCATTCCGTTTCCACCCTTCGTTCTCAACATGAACTGAAAAAGGCGTGAGGTGTGTGCCTTCGATGCCACAGCTTTGGGACAGAACATAAGTGCAGGTTCCTTGAAAATTCAACTTCTTCCCGTCTAAAGTGATGTAGTGGGGATCACCGGAGGCACGGCACACGCCCTCCCCAACCGGGTGACACTTCCGGACACCGTTTTTAACTGCACACTCTTCATTAGGGCCACAAAGGAACTGCTTACATACAACCTTTGGAGGAAAGAGAAAAATAAAGTTATCTTTGATGATGAATATACAAAAAACAAATTAACAATCAAATTGAGAGTAAGTAGGAAGGAATAAGGAATTCTACACCAAACTCATTATAGAAACTGTTTTGAGAGCAAAGAATGAGTTACATGGATTTTTACTACGTAGTTCAAATATTGTGGTTTGAAAGTTAGGTACCCCAGCTTTGAATTAATTAAAGCAAAGGAAAGTTTCTCACCCATCATCTGTACTTCTTAGCAAGTTTTCCCGACGTTTCGTCCTCAATCCTAAGGACTTCTTCAGGGAATTAATTCTCAGACCGCGCGTTGGAGATGATGGGTGAGAAACCTTCCTTTGCTTTGACTAATCCCTGTACGACTGAGGGTTTACACAAACTTTTAATTAATTAATTAAAAACTAGATGCACAACAATATATCACTAGGCCACACAGCAAGAAGGTCCTGGGTTCGAATCCCGGTCGGAACAGGGTATTTCTGAGTGGAGTTTGCATGTTCTTCCCGTGCCTGCGTAGGTTTCCTCCGGGTACTCCAGTTTCCCCTACCACTAAAAACATGTTCACCAGGTTAAATGCTCCAGCTCTGGTAGTCCTGACCAAGCCGAGCATCAACATCTGGAGATGGGTTCCCAGGCGCTGTACTACGGCGACCACTGCTCCTGACGTAAAGCCTTAGAGGCATCAGGATGGGTCAAATGCAGAGGATTGAATTGCTATACGGGGATTAATAAAAGTGCACCTTAAATAAATAAAAATAAAGTAATGCATTGAAAACTGTCATTGACCGTGTTATAGGACACGGTCACATGCCAAGTGGCCCAGATCGTGACAGCAGTGTTCACATTGTCTCCCATAGAATGCCTCTTGGGAAGATTTGTCAATTGAATGTGTCTTTTAAAGTAGAACAACCCCATTCATTCACTATGTAGTTCTGACCAGTGACGTGCAGTCAGGGGAGGCCTCACCTGCCATCATAGAAAAAATAATTATTATTTTAGTCAAAATTTATAATTGCTTTCCACTGTCTTATGCTTATAAAGTATTTTCGGACTGTTTCCGAACAGTTTTGATCATTTCTGTAGTCAAAATTGCTGAAATCCTATTTTTCCTATTAAAAGAGACATGGTGAGGCAGCGCTCCTGCGTGCCTCCCCACAGACCGCTCGCTCCCACACAGTGTGTGTGTGAGTGCACTCAGCTCATGCTGTTGATATAACGCTTTTTGTTTCATCATCCTGCTATGAAAACATTTGTTTAACTTGTCATAGTGTTTAGTAATGTATTGTACGTACAGTGCCTTGCGAAAGTTTTCGGCCCCCTTGAACCTTTCAACATTTCGCCACATTTCAGGCTTCAAACATAAAGATATAAAAAAAATTTTTTTTGTCAAGAATCAACAACAAGTGGGACACAATCGTGAAGTAGAACGAAATGTATTGGATAATTTAAACGTTTTTAACAAATAAAAAACTGAAAAGTGGGGCGTGCAATATTATTCGGCCCCCTTGCACTAATACTTTGTAGCGCCACCTTTTGCTGCAATTACAGCTGCAAGTCGCTTGGGGTATGTCTCTATCAGTTTTGCACATCGAGAGACTGGACTTCTTTCCCATTCTTCCTCGCAACAGCTCAAAACAGCTCGAGCTCAGTGAGGTTGGATGGAGAGCGTTTGTGAACAGCAGTCTTCTGCTCTTTCCACAGATTCTCAATTGGATTCAGGTCTGGACTTTGACTTGGCCATTCTAACCTGGATACATCTATTTGTGAACCATTCCATTGTAGATTTGGCTTTATGTTTTGGATCATTGTCCTGTTGGAAGATAAATCTCCGTCCCAGTCTCAGGTCTTTTGCAGACTCCAACAGGTTTTCTTCCAGAATGGTCCTGTATTTGGCTCCATCCATCTTCCCATCAATTTTAGCCATCTTCCCTGTCACTGCTGAAGAAAAGCAGACCCAAACCATGATGCTGCCATCACCATGTTTGACAGTGGGGATGGTGTGTTCAGGGCCATACGCCAAACATATCGATTTGCATTGTGGCCAAAAAATTCAATTTTGGTTTCATCTGACCAGAGCCCCCCCTCCCAGGTGGCTTGTGGCAAACTTTAAACGAGACTTTTTGTGGATATCTTTGAGAAATGGCTTTCTTCTTGCCACTCTTCCATAAAGGCCAGATTTGCGCAGCGCACAACTGATTGTTGTCCTATGGACAGACTCTCCCACCTCAGCTGTAGTTATCTGCAGTTCATCCAGAGTGATCATGGGCCTCTTGGCGGCATCTCTGATCAGTAATCTCCTTGTTTGAGATGAAAGTTTGGAGGGACGGCCGGGTCTTGGTAGATTTGCAGTGGTCTGATACTCCTTCCATTTCAATATAATTGCTTGCACAGTGCTCCTTGAGATGTTTAAAACTTGGGAAATTTTTTTGTATCCAAATCCGGCTTTAAACTTCTCCACAACAGTATCTCGGACCTGCCTGGTGTGTTCCTTTGTCTTCATGGTTCTCTCTGCGCTTTAAACAGAACCCTGAGACTATCAAAGAGCAGGTGCATTTATACGGAGACTTGATTACACACAGGTGCATTCTATTTATCATCATCAGTCATTTAGGACAACATTGGATCATTCAAAGATCCTCACTGAACTTCTGGACTGAGTTTGCTGCACTTTTCAGTTTTTTATTTGTTAAAAAAGTTAAAATTATCCAATAAATTCCGTTCCACTTCACGATTGTGTCCCACTTGTTGTTGATTCATGACAAAAAAATTTAAATTTTATATCTTTATGTTTGAAGCCTGAAATGTTGAAAGGTTCAAGGGGGCCGAATACTTTCGCAAGGCACTGTATGTGTGTACTATTTATATTTTTTTGAAGACGTTTGATCGGAGAAGAATACACAAGGAAAATGCCTAGCGTGAGGCAGGCAGTGTCTGTGCCTCACCACTAGGGATGCTAACACAGACTGTAAATATTTTGCTAACCAACAATCAGTCCTGTCGGTGCTATTTCTTTTGCTGGAAAATGGATGATTGGATTGAGGATTTGTTTCTCAACTGGACTTTTAATCAAAACAAGAAGTAATATAGACAAGTCCACCGCTGGACTGACGAGGTTAGTCCGGCCGCGGGGGAGGAGTTTGTCAGTGTCTGTGTTTTATATTGAAAATTTACAAGAGCTGCATAAAAGTGCTTCCCCGAAAAAATACTGATTTACACACTGCTCAAGAGTTCTGCAACTTGTTTATTTCTTGTTTGTGTTCCTTGTGTTTATCTCTCCCCGTCTCTCCCTTTCTCTCTCTCCCCGCATCTCCTGCTCCTTGCGCCTCTCTCTCTCACGCTCTTTGCGTCACTCTCTCTCCTAGTGTCTCTCTCATTCTCTCTCCCCCTTGCCTGGCCTGCCAAACGATATGCTTTTTCAAAGACATATAGTCTGGGAACGAGCTTGATCTCAGCGAATTCCCGGTGGGCGTGGTTGACAGACTGCATCAACCAATTAGATGCACACAGGATATGACGCAGCAACTAGCGGCACCCAAGCCGTTTCAGTAAACACAAAACAAGGGATGGCGGCATGTCAGCTAGTGCAAATGTAAACGACTGCTGTCGATTTTGTAACAAAAACTTAAAGATACGAGGAGTTATTAGCAACTCAATTCCGTTGTTTGCTTCCGCCTCTAGGTGAAAGGAAGTCCCGCCTCTCGGTGCGTGATTGGACCGATGTGGGTAAAATCGTGAAATGATAGGCTAGGAAGAGGTGTCCAGACGGTTCTTCTTTTGAACAGAAAGGAGGAGTGTCTGGCAGGCCAGGCAACTCTCCCCCCGCATCTCTCGCTCCTTGCGTCTCTCCCTCCCTCCCTCCTCCCATCTCTCGCACCTGTGCTTCGCAAAGACTTGGTTTGATGCGGAGCGGAGAGCCAGCATCTAGAGCTGTTGGGGGATTTTTAATAATATGCTGGTTCTCTTATCTTTACAGTATATAATGTGTGTGGACGTTTTTGCATTGACCATTTAATGCTAATTTATTAGAATAATGATTGTAAATCTGACTGTCAAAGTCAGTGCCTCCCCTATCACAAACCTCACCGCACGTCCCTGGTTCTGACCATAGACTGTATATATTAACGGACAGAGTCACGCCTATCTTCGCCGTTAATAGGAGTTGGCCATGAAAAGTGCTTTCATGGAGCAATCCAAGATGGCCGCGAGTGGTCCCGCCCACAAGAAATTGTGAAAAAACGCATCTGCGCATGCGTCAGCCGGCGCAGCTCCATTCATTTGAACGAGAGACTTCAAAAATTCACCGTGAGTAAACTAGAGTGGACCAAAAAAATTCACCCCCTCAGCATTGACACACATGTGGGACGGAGCTTTGGGCCAAGAGTCAACTTTTGGTCCATCCTGTAAAGACGTTTTTGAGAGGTCTGCCAACGCTATATGTTAGCATTGGCTAATTCTTCTTCTGGGTCCACCCCCATCGGCCCGGGGTGGTATTGCAAGCATGTCAGCGCACATCATTTTGGCCACTTTTGAGCTGGGACCCGCCCCCAATGGTTCTGACCCATAGTAAAGGTCCGACTCCACTCCACTAGCCGGGCTGCGTATATACCAAAACAATCTGACGTCGGCGAACGTCAATTCTGATTGGTCAGATGCGCTGTCAATCACTCTGCAGTTGCTGCCTCAGCTGTTGCGAATATCATAACAAACAACACGTTGCCTCGACCCATGACGACCCTACGGAAAACAATTCCTTGTTCGCTGGACGAGGGCAACACCTTCGTCAGTTTGAGGAGAGGACACCAGCGTGAGCTCGATGGTTCCACCAGAAACTAGAAGGTGTTTGTGGAGCTAGCGCTAAGGACGGAGCAGAATGATTCCCAAGAACATCACAATGCAGAGAAAAGTTTATAAGTTTAGTGACAACCGTGAAATGAAAGATCACAGCAGCAGAAGTAGAGGCAGAACCGCAAAGTCTGGAGGTGGTTTGACCAAATGGATTAAATTTATGGAAATCGGTTAACACCAGCTAACATGCTAAAACCAGCAATCACCAGCTACACCAGGAGATAAGCCAACTCTGCCTGGTGAGTGTCTGTTTTCAAGCAAATGCAAAAGTATCTGGTCTTATACTGAACATGTGTCTGTGGTTCTAAATCAGCGAAAGTGGTGATCTTTTCCTTAGCGTAGTTAGAGAGTGAATTATGGTTCAATAAAGACAGTTGTGTTTCTGCTGAATACTGGGTTGAAACTCGAATTTCATTTTCTTGGTTAGAGATTGAAAGCATTCATTTCGGTATCATAATTGATGTTCGCTGATGTCAGATTGTTTTGGTATCGACTCGCCCGGTAAGAACCAGGGCCACATCGTTACTAAAAAAGTACCGGGTATCGGCTAAAGCGAGCAGTGGAAACGCCCGCAAACCGGGGAGAGTCGAGTCCAGCCCTTTAGTACTGTAGGAGTCAATTATTAGTCATTATCATGTTGGTGTGTGACATTTATAATAAATCTGTCCGAGCAGAGGTGTGTGCGTGTGTGTGCGTCCGTGCGTGTGTAAGGGATGGGGTGATGTTTATGTGTGCACATTTGTATGATGTGGCTCTTTGCTGTAACACAGTACAAAAATTGGCTCTTAGTCTCTGACTGGTTGGCCACGCCTGGTTTAGTTAATATGGGTGATTTTAATATACATGTGCATAAGATGCAATAGAACAGAGTTCTGTACTTGAAACCTTTGATCTCACCTGGCACGTGAGCGCCCCCACCCACAGCAGAGTGCACACTCTAGACCTGCTTATTACTAAGGGGGGTTAAGGTTTAAATGTTAATGTGGTCAACATTGCTGTGTCGGATTATTTTTGCGTATTTTTTGTGAAAAAAATTTCAGCTGAGCTTGTCAATTGTTAGAAGAAGACATTAATGAAAACATGGGCAAACTGTTCATGGCAATGATCAACTTTGAGAATTCATCGTGTTCGATTGTAGATTAACACTAGTGTTTTGAATGTCCTAGACAATAGGGCCCCTGAAAAATAAGCAGAAGGCACCGTGGACTAAAGTGGACTCACAGAGGAGAAAGTGCTACAGGGCCGAGCGGAAGTGGCGGTTGGACTTGCGCCACTACAAAGTTGTGTGAGTTAAACGAGGCACTATGTAAAACGTTTTCTGAAATTATTGACGGCTGCAGTAACAATCTACATGTTGCTTTCACTTAACAGATTAACAACCCCCCCGGTTTAGCTGCAATTAGAGCTTACTTCCAAATCTAAATGTAATGAGTTTGCACAGCTTTTCAATGACAAGATTCAAGGCATCAAAAACGACATTGTCTCCAATCCAACAGCCATCGAGGCTCTTTGAGCTAACTCACTTTGCACCTGTAAATGATAAAACTGTCCAAGAGATAATCACAAGTTTGAGCTCCTCCACATGCAGCCTGGATGTACTACCCACTAGATTTCTAAAGTCTGTTCTGAGCAGTCTGTTACCCTCCCTCACACAGATAGTAAACATGTCCCTTCATTCTGAATCATTCCCAAAGGCCCTGAAAAGTGCAGTCTTCAGGCCCCACCTAAAAAAAAGAGTTGTCTGGATGCCACGGTACTCAACAACTATCGTCCCATCTCAAATCTGCAATACATGGGGAAAGTCCTTGAAAATATTATCCACCAACATTTCTTATCATTTACAACTGATTTGATATGTTCCAGTCCGGCTTTAGACCCTGCCACAGCACTGAGACCGCTCTTGTCAAGGTAACAAACGATATCCGGCTGAACATTAACGCAGGCAAAGTCCCAATCTTAATCTTTTTTGATCTGAGTGACTTTTGATACTGTCGACCACTAGATCTTGTGTCTCAGATCATATGGCGCTGACCTCTGGAGTAGTATAGGGGTCAATCCTGGGACTTCTTCTGTTCAAGGCTTCTACTTCCGCCTCCGTCGAGCAAAGACGTGTCTCAGACCGCTCCTGCTTCTGACTGCTTGCTATCTCCTGTTTTTGTCTTTTTCCTGGAGTTTTGCCACAGACAACTTTAACAGAATGGAAAGGATTAACTGGTCCCTCAACGCAATTGATTCTATCTTTTCAACACGTAAGCGAGGGTCTGGAGAGCCCATGTGCCCGGACGGGACTTCACCTGCGGGGTATACTCTTGACAGCTGGAACAAGTTTCAGCCCCTCTGTCTGTCGACCCTGTCCATTGAAGATTCGGAAGACGTATATATCTTTGGCATTTTGGTGGTGGGGATCCTCCTGTTTGGGTTTGAATCTGAATCTGAATCTCTACATGCTGCTGTTAGGTCAATTCAAAGTTGTGTCCTATCATAACTATGCAGACGGCCCTCAGATTTATGTCTCACTGACTGCAGGAGAACATGGACCAGTGGACTCAGTCCTTCACTGTATCCAACAGATTAGTGAGTGGATGCAAAACAACATCCTTCTGTTATACACAGACAAAACCAAAATGATTGTCCTTGGTCCCCAGAAAAAGAGAGAGCGTTTTCAGTCACCTCCAGTCCCTCTCCCTAAAACCTTCAAATCAAGTCAGAAATCTAGGGGTCATACTGAACTCAGACTTAAACTTTAATTGCCATATCAAATCAGTAACATCAGCAACTTTTGACCAAAATCTTGCATTTCTAGCAATCTAAAACTTACCTTTGTTGTCTTCTTTCAAGCTTAAAGGTCCCATATTATTCTTTGACTTTTCTCTGCTTTAAACATCATTACAGTGCTATTTGGCCTTCATACACATGCCCAAAGTAGTTTTCACTTAAATATATGAAGATGTTTGTTTCTTACAGAACAGTTCCTCCTTGAAAGACTCAAAAATAGGTAATGGTGAAATTTTTGTTACTTGCCATTGTTGTTTCCTCAAACACACACTGGCATTCTTCCTCACACATTCCATTGGGGAAGAAAACTTCTCCGATGTGGTAGTAGCGGTCTTCGTGCTCACAACCACAGTGTGAGAGGGGTACACAGATGTCTCCGCTGAGGATGTGGCCTTCATCACAGACACAGTCCTCCATGCATGGGAGATGACAGCCACGGGGAGGGGCCAGACTTGGGCAGGTTGCGGGACAAGTATCTGCACACACTTCGTAGTGGCTGATGGCCGAACACTTTATTGCTGAAGACAAAACAATGAAAAGAACAAAAAATATGCATTAATTTTCACCTCCAGACTATGTACATGAAATGCATGCTTTAGTCCTGTTTCCACCGCAGGAGTTCCTCGTAAAAGGAGGGGGGTTGGACAGCTACATGAACCATCCTCTCACTCTGCTTCTCAGTGGCAATGTCTCCACAGCAGAGTAGGACCCATCGGCAACGTCATTAGTTTTGATCGCCGAATAATCAATTATTTATCTATTTTACAGTCGGAACCGCTACAGTTGTTGTGGTCTTTACTTTTTTTTTTAGTCCTGCTTCATTTTTATTTATTTTTTTCTTTTCACGGAATTGTTTCTGAGTGTGCTGAATCCCCAGGGCTTCGATGTGTGCTAATATACGGTATCTTTTGATTTCGCCTTGATGCCTCAAACCCCGTCTGAATTTCTACGGTGCGGTAGAAAAAAGTTCCTGTAAATGGCCCTGTGGGGGAGGTTCCTGCAGTGGAGACACGCACCAACAGGGCTGGCCCTGGAAAATGACCCTGAAGTTCCTGCGGTGGAAACGCAACTATTGCTCCATATACCTTAGTTTATGGAATGTTCCCAGAGCTCTCCCATCTCCCTCATTAGAGGAGGTTTATAACCTCCTCTAATGAGGTTATAAACAATGTTTATAAACATGTTTAGACTTTTCTATGCTGTAAACATTGTTTGAGTACCATTTGGGCTTCATACACATGCCCGCAGCAGTGTATTAATTTATTCCTCTAAGTTTTAGTTAGAGAGCAATCTTTCACTTTTATTCTTGAGAGCCATAAAAACGCCTCAATTGCATTTGTTACTTGGAACTACATTGATGACATGCCACGAGCTGTAGAAGCCTGCCTCCAGGAAGTGATTCACGAGGGGAAAAAAAGTAAAACAACGAATCAGTGCACGCAGTGTTATGCCAAAATTTAGAATGGTCCGAGGCAAACAAGTGTCTTTGTGTGGTTTAATAAAGATAATTGATAATACATGATAATTGCATAAAGTGAATCCAAGTTGTGGAGAAGAGTTCAGCCAGACCTCCGAGGAGGCTCGCTAAACTTTTCTGCCCAGAACAAAGCCCCAGTCTTCAGTTTTCCCAGCCTCGAGAACCACACACCTGGTTTCTTATCAGTGGAACCACTGGCACCAGTGTCTCTGTGTTGAGTTTCAGTTGAGTATTTGTACCATTTCTTATGTTATTAATATAATTAATAGTAATTTTCCACTACAAAAGCCCCTCTCCGAAGTCTCCCACAATCTGTGTTGCCTTCACATCAAGCTGTTTATCTGCTATTGTCGTCGATAAAAGAGTTAGCAACTTTGAGAAAATGTATAAATGCCATCTAAAAAGTCACTAAAAACACTTTCAAAAGAAAAAACAAACTCACGACAGAACTGCTCGGTACGCCAGCTGTAGACTTTGGCTCCTACTTCTTGACATGCAGAAGTGTAGGCGGTAATGGCCTGACACAGAATATCTTGTGTCCCTTCAAACGTGCACACGTCAAACACGCAGTCTTCAAAGGCGTCGGCCGGGTCTACTTGGGCGTGGCAATCGCGGAAGGGACCTCTGGGATCTTTGATAATTCCGCAATAATCATTGTTCTCATATTTATCCTTCTCAGTTATGTCACAGTCTGGGCACTCCCCTTCACAAGCGTCGAGGCATCCTGGGATCTCCGCCACTCTCCAACTGGCGCCGAAGACTGCCGGTTCGACAGGTTGTATACCGTTTTTAGGAATAAGATCGTCATTTTCTTTGCCATTGTAATTGCCGCAAAGACCGCACACAGCTCCCTTGTAGTCGCTGCTAAGAGTGACGAAAACCGCACTCTTCCAGTCAAATTTTACCTCCAAGCCAAAGCTTGTGCTGATGACTGCATACCACCCACTTTTGTGAACAGTCACTTCTCCATCTTGAAGACTGATTGGAAGGTTCACAAACTCATCATTTACCTAAAAAAAAAAAACATTATTGTATCATTACGGTGATAAAATGCAATAGTGGTGTCAAGAATTTAGAAAAGAGAGAGAGATTCTGGGTTTGTTAAAAAAATAAATTCATAGATTTATAAAAGATATTGATTTTACAATTAGATACAATATCATTTTTATGTATCTTGTTATGCATATGAAGACACGCGTCATATTGGCAGGTTGTGATCATTTCAATGTTGTAAAATGACAAAGACTCAGATAAAATCTCCATAGTGAATTCTCTTTACCCACAAGGATATTTTTTCAGCACAGAGTGAGCACTCCTGTTTGGGAGCTGTTTTTATAATCTAACTATGTGTAACTTTTCCTGCCTCTTGACTTTTCTGTTTCAGATCTAGAATTAGTCCGGTGTGCTTTGGTCTCAGTGCCACATTTCCTGATTTTGCGTTCTTCTTTGATCCAGTCCAGGCATGTTAAGGTTGCAGTGATCTGAAAGAGCCAAATGGAAAAACTCCTCTTGCGTCCTCTGTCATTTTGTTCTGCTTAATCTATCTGTTGTCTCCTTGCACAAGGCACACATTTTGAATCTAAAACCTGCAAATGAAAATGAACAAAAATGAAATTGGGGCGACAGTAGCTCAGTTGGTAGAGCATTGGCCTTAAGGTCTGAAGGTCGTGGGTTCAATTCCCACCTCTACACCTTCTCCATCGACTCCCACTGATGACTGCTGTCGTTGTATCCTTGGGCAAGACACTTAACCCCACTTTGCCCAAAAGCCCCCACTGAAAGATCAAGGCTATATGCTCACACTCAGAGAGCAGCTGTCCTCCTGTGGACCCACCACCTGCAGAGGGTCAGTGAGGGGCTGGTGCTATGAGACTTGGGTGGCATCTCTGACTGCCACCCCCCTGACCCAGAAATGGATTAAAGGGTAGAAAATGGATGGATGGATGGAACCTGCAAATGAGGGTATATCATCCGCAGGTTTTTGTTTTTAGATTGAATATCTCCAATGAAGACTGTCAAGCTGATTTCTGCTACCATAGCACCATTGTATAGCTTATTCTTTCAAGATAATAACCACATTTATTATAAATTATTTGTCCAAAATGCCCAGTTTGCTATTAATTTTATTCCAAAAAAAGTTACATGTATACAAATGAATACCATTCCATTCAAGGCGTCCCTTCAACAATAAACGATTATTAAGTCAAAGTGCTTTGGGCCTTCTTCTCCTCCCGATTTTCTACTTAATTTCCCCATGAATTCTTGAAGAGAGAGAGACCTTCTAGTGAAGGTAACGAACGACACTCGACTTCACACTGATACGAGTAAAGTCTCAGTTTTAGTCATGTTGGAACTGAGTGCCACATTCGACACTATCAACCATGAGATCCTCATGCAGAGACGATAGGACTGTAGGAGAACATGGACCACTGGACTCGCTCCTTCACTGCATCCAACAGATCAGTGAGTGGATGCAAATCAAATTCCTTCAGTTAAATGCAGACAAAATCAAAATTATTGTCTTTTGTCCCCAGAAACAAAGAGAAAGCGTTATATATCAGCTTCAGTCTCCCCCCCTAATTTCTGATCTAAGAGAAGGTCAGAAATCTAGCCACATAAGATCAACAGCTTTTTACCATCTGAAGAACATTAGATAAAAATATAGTGTCCAAAGCAGACCTGGAGATTCTTATCCATGCTTTTGCCTCCTGTAGGTTAGACTACTGTAACGGCCTACTCACTGGTCTCTTTAAATATGCTGTAAAATAGCTGCAGTACATTCAAAATGCTGCAGCTTGAGTCTTCACTAGAAGTAGGAAGTACGATCACAGTAATCCAGTCCTGTTCTGCACTGGCTTCTTGTGGCTGTTATGTGGAGCTGCTACTCAGACCTGCTACTCAGACCTGTTCCAGTTCCAGGCTCCACTTCCAGGATTTCCAGCCTGCATCAGGTTCCCTGCTGGGAGTCTACAAGACACACCTTGACTCCAACCATCTCTCTCTCTCTCTCTGTCCTGGCAGCAGCAGCCCTGCTCCCACTACACCTGTCTTCCCCTTTTTGGTTTTCTTTCTTCACATCTATAGTTCTGTCAGCACGTTTATGATTCTGTCTGCACATCTATGGTTCTATCTGCACGTCTTTGGTTCTGTCTGCACATCTATAGTTCTGTCAGCACGTTTATGGTTCTGTCTGCACGTCTATGGTTCTGTCTCACGTCTTTGGTTCTGTCTGCGCGTTTATGCCCTGTGCTTGGTACCACGTTACGGATGTGCGTTTGCTGAGGTGTTGTTAAAGCGCCACAGCCGTCATTACAAAGCGGCTGCTCGAGGGGTCAGAACGGAGGATGTGAATCCCATTTAAGTACTTACAACAAACAACAGAAAGTGTCTGCGGTCACACATTATAGTATATGTTTGGGGATAAACATCTTTGTTTACCAGACTTTTACTTATCTGGTCAAAAGCTGGGTGTTTGCAGCAAAATTAAATACTTGGGTCACATCATAACTGACCGACTCTGTGATGATGATGACATTAATCGCCAGTGTCGTAAACTGTACGCTCAAGCCAACACCTTAGTGCGGAAATTTCACATGTGCACAGTCGATGTTAAAATTAAACTGTTTAAAATGTACTGTTCACCTCTGTATACAGCCCCACTGTGGAGCAGATATAAGAAGGCTGCACTACAGAAGCTCAAAGTTGCATATAATGATGCTTTCAGGATTCTGCTGAAAAAGCCCAGGTCCAATAGTGCTAGTCTGCTAGTCGTGTGAACTCTTTCCATGCTCTCATGAGAAATATGATGTACAGGTTTATATGCCGTCTGAATGTCAGTGAGAACTATTTTGTGCGGTCTCTGGTGAACCCCAATATGAGTACCAGTCAGCTCTGTGGAAGCTCTGGTACAGTTTTCTTTTATAACTGTTTGTCTGTTGTGTTTGTGATGTGTTTGTTTGTTTTTTATGGACTTCGAGTCTGATAAATAAAGATAATAATAATAATAATAATAATAATAATTTAACAGAAACTACATTTTCGACCAAAAAAGTCGGAAGTCGTGGATCCGCAGAAAATTTTCATCCCTGCTTTATCCTGGTGCATTTAATTGGTCAAAATAATTTACCAATGAATAGAATCCATCCATCCATCCATTTTCTTCCCTTAATCTGTTTCTGGGGTCCAGGGGGTGGCAGCCAGAGCTACACCCAGTACACTTAGCACCAACCCCTCACTGATCCTCCTGCAGGTGGTGAGTCCACAGGAGCCTAGATCTTCCAGTGGGGGCTTTGGGAAAAGTGGGGTTAAGTGTCTTGCCCAAGGACACAACGACAGCAGTCATCAGTGCGAGTAGTGGAGTAGGTCTCGTGGTGGATTCGAACCTACGACCTTCAGGCCCAAAGGCCGATGCTCTACCAACTACTACTGTCGCCCCATGAATAGAACTGAAAAGACCTGAATAGATTATTATTATTTTTTTTCTATTTCATGAATAGAATTGAATAGAAAAAATATAAACAGACGTGTCCGCTCCCAGCTCCAGAGGAAGGAATGCGTTCCCGGCTGGAATGGGTTGAAGTAATAAATCACCTGCCCGTTCGGGCAACTTGCTAAGACATCACTTGACCGTTCCAAATCTTTAGTTGCTCCGGGCAAGCGGGCAAACGTTAATGTAGAGCCCAGGACTGGCCTCCGTGTTAGTGCCAGAGTCAAAAATGACGATGCAGAACTGAGGCCCGGGTGCAGAGCTGCTCTGCCACAACCTCTGAGCCCCTATCTGTTCAGTTACTAGCCTCAGAAGCTAGTCAGATTGAAACTGTGTGTGTTCCTCGCTTGAAGTCTAAAGCACTATATGCGAGGAAATCTGACCTGGGTGTCAGACACAGTAACTTAAAGTAGTACTAGAAATTAATATGCTACTATCCAGAATATATAACTACAATATGTGTTTATAATATTTCGGGTGTTCATTTTGATATGTTCAGATGAATTATGTTAAAAAAACAGCTTTGAAGTCGGACCTTTTCACAAACGCTAGGGGGAGCCAAAATGGCGGCGATGACGTAGGAGATGACGTATCTCACAGCAGCGGACAGCAGTCTTAGCTGAAACTGTAGGAGGTTTCACTGTCATCTGAACAAGGTATAAACATATTTTCATCCGTTTTGTACATAATAGTGCGCAACTCTTTTAACCTTTTAGCCTTATTTGTGAGATTCAAGCAAACTAGTGTTGGGCAAGTTAGCTAACTCTACTTGATATCATAAAACATGCTAACAAGGCTAATATTCGTTTTTACATTATGCCAGTCTCACTTTGGTTGCCTTAGATTTATTTAGCACAATGTACATTGTAATATCCATAAATGCTAATCAAAATTACTTGAATTAAATAAATATTTTACTTTTATGAACAAAAAGCTGCAGAAGTTGAAAACATAGACTACATGTGATGCAATCATTGATAAAAATGCTAATTAAACCGTTAATAGGTGTTAGTATTTATGGATATTACAATGTACATTGTGGTAAATAAATCTAAGGCAACCAAAGTGAGACTGGCATAATGTAAAAACAAATATTAGCCTTGTTAGCATGTTTTATGATATCAAGTAGAGTTAGCTAACTTGCCCAACATTAATTAGCTTGAATCTCACAAATAAGGCTAAAAGGTTAAAAGAGTTGCACACTATTATGTACAAAACGGATGAAAATATGTTTATACCTTGTTCAGATGACAGTGAAACCTCCTACAGTTTCAGCCCAGACTGCTGCTGCTGCTGTGAGATGCCCTTCTCCTACGTCATCGCCACCCATTTGCCCCCCCCTAGCGTTTCTATGCGGAAGTGAAAAGGTGCCACTTCAAAGCAGTTTTTTTTAACATAATTCATCTGAACATGTCAATATGAACACCCGAAATATTATAAACACATATTGTAGTTATATATTCTGGATAGCAGCATATTCAATTCTAGTACTACTTTAATACAAGTTCAGACAGACAGAAATAGTTCTAAAAGTAGGGTTGTTAAATGTGGATTAATGAACGTCAGATCAATCACGTCTAAATCGCTTCTCATAAACGAACTTATTATAGACAAGGGTTTGGATTTGTTTGCGCTCTCGGAGACTTGGCTCCAACAGGACGACTACGTTAGATTGAATGAGTGCACTCCTCCTACGCATGTTAACTACCAGAAAGCGAGAACTACAGGTCGCGGCGGTGGTGTTGCGATTATATCACACACCAACTTGGTTCTTAGTCCCAAAACCAACAATGCTTTTCACTCGTTTGAAAACTTAACACTTTCAATCACCTGTCCTGGGTGGAGAAAACAAAAAGCGGTGCTATTTATAGTTTTATACCAACCTCCTGGTCCTTACAGCGAGTTTCTAACAGAATTCTCTGACTTCATTTCAAACCTAGTTTTGGAATGGGAAAACATAGTTATAACTGGAGACTTCAATATACATGTGGACGACAGCACTGACAGCTTAAACAAAGCTTTCAGCGTCGTACTAGATGGTGTTGGTTTTACTCAGAATGTTGAGGAACCTACTCACATTCATAACCACACCTTGGACCTTGTCCTGACCTACGGCTGTGATGTCTCCAATGTAGACATCCAGTGTCAAAGCTCGTTGCTGTCTGACCATTTCTTGATCACGTTTGATCTCGATTTGGAGGACTTTCCTGTGCCGCAAGATAAAACCATAATGAAAAGAACCTTAAATGATAAATCTATCACAAGGTTCAAAGAACTAATACAGCCTATGTTGAATACTGCTGCAGGTGAACCTGTTCACAGCTGCTGCAGTCCCTCAGTCATTGACCAAACGGTGGACAACACCATGGAGTCTTTAAAATCTGCATTAAATGCAGCAGCTCCTTTAAAACAGGAAACTATTAGGATTAGATCATCGTCGCCCTGGTACAGTGTTCAACTCCACACTTTAAAACAGGACGTCAGAAAATTGGAGAGGCTATATCGCCACTCCCACTCGGAGCCTGTCCACAGGGAGTGGAAAGCAGGAATAAAAATAACAGTAGATTTTTGTTTAGCACCGTCGCTAAACTCACAAACTGCCATAGCGCAATCGAGCCTAAAATTCCAAGCTCACTGAGCAGTATCGACTTTCTCCACTTCTTTAATTATAAAATTA